TTCACTCATCGCTACTAGGTCCTCTCTCTCTCTGCTTCCTGAGCTGTATCATACCTCTTCTTAAAACTATGTATGGTTCCTGCCTCCACAACTTCACTTGCTAGGCTATTCCACTTGCTGACAACTCTATGACTGAAGAAATACTTCCTAACGTCCCTGTGACTCGTCTGAGTCTTCAGCTTCCAGTTGTGACCCCTTGTCCCTGTGTCCCCTCTCTGGAACATCCTATCTCTGTCCACCCTTTTCTATTCCCGCAGTATATTGTATGTCGTTATCATGTCTCCCCTGACCCTTCTGTCCTCCAGTGTCGTCAGTCCATTTCCTCAAACCCTTTTCCTCGTACGACATTCCCTTGAGCTTTGGGACTAGCCTTGTTGCAAACCTTTGTACTTTCTCTAACTTCTTGACGTGCTTGACCAGGTGTGGGTTCCAGACTGTGCTGCATACTCCAGTATGGGCCTAACATACACAGTGTACAGTGTCTTGAACGATTCCTTATTAAGGTATCGGAACGCTATTCTCAGGTTTGCCAGGCGCCCATATGCTGCAGCAGTTATTTGGTTGATGTGTGCCTCCGGTGATGTGCTCGGTGTTATGGTCACCCCAAGGTCTTTCTCCCTGAGTGACGTCTGTAGTCTTTGTCCACCTAGCCTATACTCTGTCTGCTGTCTTCTTTGCCCCTCCCCAATCTTCATGACTTTGCATTTAGCTGGATTGAATTCGAGAAGCCAGTTACTGGACCACATGTCCAGCCTGTCCAGGTCTCTTTGCAGTCCTGCCTCATCCTCGTCTGATTTAATTCTTCTCATCAACTTCACATCATCTGCGAACAGGGACACTTCAGAGTCTATTCCTTCCATCATGTCGTTCACATATATCAAAAATAGCACTGGTCTTAGAACTGACCCCTGTGGGACCCCGTTCGTCGCAGGCGCCCACTGTGATACCTCTTCACGTACCATGACTCGTTGCTGCCTCCCTGTCAGGTATTCCTTGATCCATTGCAGTGCCCTCCCTGTTACATGCGCCTGATCCTCCAGCTTCTGCACTAATCTCTTGTGGGGAACTGTGTCAAAGGCCTTCCTGCAGTCTAGGAAAATGCAATCTACCCACCCCTCTCTCTCGTGTCTTACTTCTGTTACCTTGTCATAAAACTCCAGGAGGTTTGTGATACACGATTTGCCTTCCATGAACCCATGCTGGTTTTCATTTATAATCTTGTTCCTTTCCAGGTGTTCACCACTCTCCTCCTGATAATCTTCTCCATGACTTTGCACACAATACATGTCAGAGACACAGGTCTGTAGTTTAGCGCCTCGTTTCTGTTTCCTTTCTTAAATATGGGGACTACATTAGCTGTCTTCCATTTCTCAGGTAGTTGCCCAGTTTCAAGGGATGTGTTGAAGATTGTGGTTAGAGGCATGCACAGCATCTCTGCTCTTTCTCTAAGGACCCATGGGGAGATGTCCGGTCCCATCGCCTTTGAGGTGTCAAGGTCACTTAGGAGCTTCTTCACCTCCTCCTCGGTTGTTCGTATGTCATCCAACACTTGTTGGTATATTCTCTCTTGATGTTCCCTTCTGTGCTGTCTTCCACGCCCTTCCTGTCTCTACTGTAAAAACTTCCTTAAATCTCCTGTTCAGCTCCTCACATACCTCCTGATCATTTCTTGTGAGTTCCACCTTCTGTCCTTAATCTGGTCACCTGGTCTTTGACTGTTGTCTTCCTCCTGATGTGGCTATACAACAGTTTCGGGTCAGTCTTGATTCTCGATGCTATGTCATTTTCATACTGTCGCTGGGCCTCCCTCCTTACCTGTGCATACTCATTCCTGGCTCTGCGACTGATCTCCCTATTTTCGTGTGTTTTCTGCCTTCTGTACTTTTTCCATTCTCTATTGCACTTTGTTTTTGCCTCCTTACACCGTCGGGTAAACCAGGGGCTCGTTCTGGTCTTCTCGTTGTTCCTGTTGCCCTTGGGAATAAACCTTTCCACTGCCTCCTTGCATTTTGTTGTTACATATTCCATCATTTCATTTACTGGTTTTCCTGCCAGTTCTCTGTCCCAGTGAACCTCCTGCAGGAAGTTCTTCAACCATATGTAGTCCCCTCTTTTATAGTCAGGCTTTTCCCATTCAACTCCTGTTATTCTCTCCACTTGCAGCTCTACTATGTATTCAAAGCACAGAACCACGTGGTCGCTAGCTCCTAGGGGACTCTCATACTTGATGTCCTCAATGTCTGAGCTCCCCAGGGTGAACACAAGGTCCAATCTTGCTGGTTCATCCTCCCCTCTCACTCTGGTAGTGTCCTTAACATGTTGGTGCATGAGGTTTTCCAGCACCACGTCCAACATCCTGGGTCTCCATGTTTCGGGACCCCCATGTGGCTCCAGGTTTTCCCAGTCAATCTCCCTGTGGTTGAAATCCCCCATAACCAGCAACTTTGCTCTTTTGGAGTGAGCTCTTCTTGCCACCTCAGCAAGTGTGTCCACCATTGCTCTGTTGCTCTCTTCATATTCCTCTCTTGGCCTCCTGCAGTTCTGTGGTGGATTATACATCACTGCAATGACCACTTTGTGTTCCCCAGACTGAAGTGTACCTACTATGTAGTCTCTCCCGTCTCATCTATGCCTTCCATTTTCTCGAATTTCCATCTGTTTTTTATGAGCAGAGCAGCCCCACCTTCCCCTGCCCCTTCTATCTTTCCTCATGATCTGGTATCCTGGTGGGAATATTGCATCTGTTATTGTCTCTGTGAGTTTTGTTTCTGTAACTGCTATGATGTCTGGGGACTTTTCATTGATTCTTTCTTGCCATTCCTCATGTTTATTCGTTAATCCATCTGCATTTGTGTACCAAACCTTCAACTTCTGTTCTAATACTGTAACTGTGGTCGGGGGGGGGGGGGGGGGAACAGAGGGATCGGTGTGTGATGGTTTGGATTGTTCAGTTGCCTTGGGGGTGTCGTGGCTGGAGTCCTTCTGCAGGTGTTTCTGGGGGGTGTGCTTGTCCTTCCATTTGATCCTGGGTTATTCTGCTCTCCTTTTTCATTTCCTCCCATTTCTCCTTTCATTTTTGAACTCTCTCTTTCGTCTTCCTTTCGTCCTGTGTTCTGTCTCGATCGAGGTACACACTCCGGAACTCCTGCTTGCCTCTCAGCCATGCTTTCTCCTGCAGGATCATGGTTTGGGTTGAGTCTGCCTTGAAAATTACTTTGAGAGGCCGATTCCTTTTCTTTGTGAACCACCCGATTCTCCGAAAATTTGCCACCTGGGTCATGTCCCCCTCACCTATCACCTTCATGATGTCTTCGATCGCTTTTTTCTCCTCCTGCTTTCTTTCATCATAAGTTTCTCCTTTAGCTTTGTCTAGCCCATAGACAAACACGGATCTCTCCCTTTCCACCTCCCACTGTGACTCCCATTGCATCCTCTGATGTGTTTTAGTTCCTTCCCATGGAGTGTTCCTTCCTTCAGTCCCTTCCCTAGTTATGGCCCTATGCTTCTTGGTTTGTCCTTCCTGCTCACCTGTTCCTGGCCCCCACAGGTATCTGGTATGGTCCCTGCACATGTCCTAGTTCCTTCAATGTCTTCCAACCTCTCATTCTGTCCTAGTGTGCTCCCTGTCTTTGTTTTGGCCCCATGTGGGTTTGACAGGACCTCTGCATACAGTTTAGTTTCCATGCTCCCTTCAGACCTGTTGTCTGTGTCTGATGTAGCCATTGCCGATGCTACTTCTGTAATATCTTTGTCTCTATGCTTTTTCAGATGTCTCAGCTCCTCTTCTAATCTCTCTATCTTGATTTCTGCTGCTGTGGCCTGTTGCTGCCACCTTCTGCATTCTGCTGCTAATCTCTCTTCCATCTTCCTTTCCAGCTCATCTAGTCTCCTTCCCCAGTCTTCCTCCCTTTTTTTGAGCTATGCCTCCCATTCCTCCCAGATTCGTCCTTGGTGCCCCTTGTCCTCATCCTGGTTCTAGGTTCCCCCATTGCTCCACAGAAGGGGGGACGGGTGGTTAGGGGGAGGGGAATAGATGGTTAGGAGGAGAGGGGATGGATGGTTATGGGGGAGGGGGAGGATGGTTATTGGAGGGGTAGAGATAGTTGGGGGAGGGGGTTAGATGGTTTGGGGGAGGGGTAGGTGGCTATGGTTAGGTGGTTAGGGAAGGGGGAGAGGGGGTTAAGGGGAGGGGGAGTAAATTATTTTCCTCAAGTCTCTTTTTTATTCTTGTGTTCTGTGAGGTGGTCTTCCTCAAGGAAGGTTCCTTGATGGCAATATAAACACAAATGCAGTATAATGTGATCCTTTATTGACTACGTTTCGCCCACACAGTGGGCTTTTTCAAGTCACAAACAGTTCTGTTTGTGACTTGAAAAAGCCCACTGTGTGGGCGAAACGTAGTCAATAAAGGATCACATTATACTGCATTTGTGTTTATATTGCCATTGTGTCGGTATTTTATACCATTTATTTCCAAGGTTCCTTGATGCTGGCAAAGAGCTCTTGATCCCAGGAACTGGATTTAGCCTCTCTTGGGTCGAATCTATGCTGAGGAAGTGCTGTACCTTAGAGATTCCTTCTTTTCACTGTTCGTTTTAGGTTCTCCATTTTCCCCATGTCTACATAATTTGTCACATTCCAACAATGTTAGTTTTCATTTGCCTGTTTAAAAACTATGTTGACATCTGTGTGTGATTTTGTGTCTTCCTACGAGGCGACTGTCGTAGTTATTCTGGTATCGTCTACAAAATACACGAAGGTGTGGCTGGTGTTAGTACCAGTGAGGATAAGAAACAGTCAGGGACCCAGTACGCTGCCCTGGACTGCTGAATTTTTTTAATCTCCCGTGGCATGAAATGACCTGCCCTGACATCTACTAACCTGCAGCGGCATTTACTAACGTGCCGTGGCATTAGTTAACCTGCCGTGGCATCAAGGCACCTGTAATAGCATCAACACACCTTCATGCCAGTAATATACGTACCGTGGCAGCTACGTACCTGTCGTGGTAGCAGAGAAGGCGGTGGTCAAGATTGGAACACTGCTGGTCTATAAGGCACGGCTCTCCGGCACGTCGTAGGGCCAGGCACGCCCCTCCTGGCTCACGTACGAAGTCCCTCTGACACGTACATCCTTGTTGGTCCTTACAGTACTCTCCTGGGTAGCAGTCTTGGTGTACCTATGTAAGAGACAGAATTAAAGTGAGAAATTCAGAGTAACGGAATCAGAGTGTATGTACTCATATATACATGGTTACAGGGGTCGATTCACAGCTCCTAGCCCCGTCTCTTCGCTGGTCACTACCAGGTTCACACTCCCTGCTCCAAGAGCTTTATCGTACCTCTTCGTTATGTGTGTGAATCGACCCCTGCAACCACAAATAGGTAAGAAAAGGCAGGTAAAAACACACACCTGACAGTGTCTGATGGGAAGATAAGCTGAACATGGATGTGACAAGAATATAATGCAGAGAGTCATCGCCCACACGCCCACACCGCCCATGTTCCAAGGTAGACGACGATAACTCCAGCAGGTGAAGGGAAATAGAAACGGGTGTAGAGGACTGAGGAATGGTGTAGAGGACTGAGGAATGGTGAAGATTGGGGAACGGTGTAGAAGATTGGTGAATGGTGTAGAGGGCTGGAGACTAGAGGACTGGGGAAGGGGCTTAGGCCTCCAGACTACGTATTCAGGGATAAAAAATACAGTATTAAAGGCTACAGGCTAGGTACGAGAGTGCAGTAACTTAGGTCTACTGTGCGATAGCCGCATGACGGTAGCCCTGGTCTGGCAGACTATATCTAGCATCCTATGATTAGGGATTAGAAAGTAGACAGTCACAGTCTTGGTGCTACAGGCTAGAGGACCAGGCATTAGTTCCAGACTGTATGGTAGTCTGAGGGCTAGAGGCTAGCCATGGATGCTGTATATGGTAGTCTGAGGGCTAGTGGCTAGCCATGGACGATCTATGTGGTAGTCTGAGGGCTGGTGGCTAGCCATGGACGCTCTGTATGGTAGTCTAAGGACTAGAGGCTAGTCATGGACGCTCTGTATGGTAGTCTGAGGGCAAGAGGCTAGTCATGGACGCTCTGTATGGTAGTCTGAGGGCAAGAGGCTAGTCATGGACGCTCTGTATGGTAGTCTAAGGACTAGAGGCTAGTCATGGACGCTCTGTATGGTAGTCTAAGGACTAGAGGCTAGTCATGGACGCTCTGTATGGTAGTCTAAGGACTAGAGGCTAGTCATGGACGCTCTGTATGGTAGTCTGAGGGCAAGAGGCTAGTCATGGACGCTCTGTATGGTAGTCTAAGGACTAGAGGCTAGTCATGGACGCTCTGTATGGTAGTCTAAGGACTAGAGGCTAGTCATGGACGCTCTGTATGGTAGTCTAAGGACTAGAGGCTAGTCATGGACGCTCTGTATGGTAGTCTGAGGGCAAGAGGCTAGTCATGGACGCTCTGTATGGTAGTCTGAGGGAAAGAGGCTAGTCATGGACGCTCTGTATGGTAGTCTGAGGGCAAGAGGCTAGTCATGGACGCTCTGTATGGTAGTCTGAGGGCAAGAGGCTAGTCATGGACGCTCTGTATGGTAGTCTGAGGGCTAGAGGCTAGTCATGGACGCTCTGTATGGTAGTCTGGGACTAGCCATGGACGCTTTGGTCTTTACAAATCTTCCGTTTATGCTCCATATATTTTTCTACACATATTTATATAGTCAGTTAACATGTTAGTTTCTGATTGATTAGTTCCTGTAACAGATTAATTAACATCATTTGTAACACATGTTAATATCCTGTAACACAGGTTAACACCATCTTAACACAAGTTAACACCATCTTAACACAAGTTAACACCTGTAACACAAGTTAACACCATCTTAACACAAGTTAACACCATCTTAACACAAGTTAACACCTGTAACAAGTTAACACCTGTAACAAGTTAACACCATCTTAACACAAGTTAACACCATCTTAACACAAGTTAACACCATCTTAACACAAGTTAACACCTGCAACACAGGTTAACACCATCTTAACACAAGTTAACACCATCTTAACAAGTTAACACCTGTAACACAAGTTAACACCATCTTAACACAAGTTAACACCATCTTAACACAAGTTAACACCATCTTAACACAAGTTAACACCATCTTAACACAAGTTAACACCATCTTAACACAAGTTAACACCTGTAACACAAGTTAACACCATCTTAACACAAGTTAACACAATAAACGAGATACAAAATATAATCAATGGACAACTCGTATATTTTTTCTAATATTTTTGCTTCTCAGTGATTCCTGTATAACACGAAAATTGACCAGTTGTTAAATACACTCCGGTTAATATTTGTACACTTAGACGGATCACACTGTGAGGTGAGATGACATGTTCAACCGAGATTTAACTTGACTGAGGTGTAGTGTGTGAGGTGACAAGCAAAAGGCTCTCTCCCTCCTCATTTCTAGATCCTCCTCCTTCTTCTTCTTCATCTACTTCTTTCTTTTCTTCTTTACTTACAGTTAACATAGAGTTTTGACTTGATATAACTGTACGAATGTGTGTGTGTGTGTGTGTGTGTGTGTGTGTGTGTATAATAGCAACCAGGATCTTTCTTGTTAGTGTTGTTATTACTTTCAGTCATCATCATCATCATCATCATCATCACCATCATCATCATCATCATCATCACTATCACAGTTAAGAGAGAGTTTGGACTACACAAGTGTACAAGTCAGTGTACATGTTAGGAGCAGCACCCAGGGGAAGGCACCGTCTTGTTCGTGTTCTGATCCCTTCCAGTCTCCTTATTCATCTGTCCTGTATCTGGACTTAATAAAGAAGTTTCTTCCTGTATCTGGACTTAATAAAGAAGTTTCTTCTCTCCATACACACACAATCTTCACTTTATATCACTTAAATTATATATATTTAATCAGTAATGGAGAACGAGAGAGTAGGTCAACTCGGCCCCCTCAAACTCCTCCTACCTGACATTATTCACATCTACGACATTATACACTACTTCCTCCCGCCTTCCGTTAATCACTACAGCTCCTGGTCCTCGTTAACACCACCTTCGCTCGTAAATCTGGCAATTCGATTGGAATTTCACAGTAAATGAGAGAATTTCAAGGAGTGACTAGTGAAGACTGGTGAGGAATCTTCACCTGGAGGCGTCTGGCAGCACCTCTCATGCACTCCCAAGCCTCAATACTACTACTAATAATAATAATAATAATAATAATAATAATAATAATAATAATGATAATACTTATGCAAAAATCCAATTATCAGTACAACAATGAGATATAATTATTATTTTTGCAGAGTTAAAGGGTTATAGTTTAATCTTACATTCAACTCTGATCACAGTGATTTATTTTATGTTTATACAGGAAACAAATATTTGAGAAATATTAAATTTTCCCTGGGGAAAATATTGCATTACAATAAATGTTAATTTCCCCTGTTTTTTTTCCCAACAAATCAATTATTTTTTCTATATATAACTAAAAACAAACAAACATTAAAGTTACCCAGAAATCCAACATATAAAACAAACACTAAACAGTCAAAAAAACATAGCAGTTTACCTCTATACAAGCTAAATTTACATAGATTTATATTTTCCGCTTTTAAAATCGACCGCGAGTGTGGACATGTTTGCAGGGGTAACCATAGTAACCCAAGATGGCCGCCCACCTGAATTACCAACATTAATATATACATTTCCGGTATAGGGGAGTAATCAATGGGTGGCGCCTGACATTATCATAACCCCCAGGTGAGCAAATTATTATTTTCTCCTCATGTACACTACGTAAATTTATATATTAACTTCTTGGTTTTGTCTTAATTCATAAAAATCACTCTGGGTAACTTTCTAGGTTTTTTGGTTATATTTTGATCGTTTCTATGTAATGTTTCATTTGTTGGTGTTATTGATTTGTTATATTTCATTACCAAAGACTGGGTAGGCGATGCAACATTCTCCAGTGAGTACGCTAAGAGATACCACATTAAATGTCAGGGGCCCAAGACTGTTCATCTGCCTCCCAGCATACATAAGGGGGATTACCAATAGACCTCTGGCTGTCTTCAAGACCCCTGGCTGTCTTCAAGACCCCTGGTTGTCTTCAAGACCCCTGGTTGTCTTCAAGACCCCTGGCTGTCTTCAAGATCCCTGGTTGTCTTCAAGACCCCTGGCTGTCTTCAAGATCCCTGGTTGTCTTCAAGACCCCTGACTGTCTTCAAGACCCCTGGCTGTCTTCACGACCCCTGGCTGTCTTCAAGACCCCTGACTGTCTTCAAGACCCCTGGTTGTCTTCAAGACCCCTGGCTGTCTTCAAGATCCCTGGCTGTCTTCAAGATCCCTGGCTGTCTTCAAGACCCCTGGCTGTCTTCAAGACTCCTGGCTGTCTTCAAGACCCCTGGCTGTCTTCAAGATCCCTGGCTGTCTTCAAGATCCCTGGCTGTCTTCAAGATCCCTGGCTGTCTTCAAGATCCCTGGCTGTCTTCAAGACCCCTGGCTGTCTTCAAGACCCCTGGCTGTCTTTAAGACCCCTGGCTGTCTTCAAGATCCCTGACTGTCTTCAAGACCCCTGGCTGTCTTCAAGACCCCTGACTGTCTTCAAGACCCCTGGTTGTCCTTAAGACCCCTAACTGTCTTCAAGACCCCTGGCTGTCTTCAAGACCCCTGGCTGTCTTCAAGACCCCTGGCTGTCTTCAAGACCCCTGGCTGTCTTCAAGACCCCTGGTTGTCCTTAAGACCCCTGGCTGTCTTCAAGACCCCTGGCTGTCTTCAAGACCCCTGGCTGTCTTCAAGACCCCTGGCTGTCTTCAAGACCCCTGGCTGTCTTCAAGACCCTGGCTGTCTTCAAGACCCCTGGTTGTCTTCAAGACCCCTGGCTGTCTTCAAGACCCCTGGCTGTCTTCAAGACCCCTGGCTGTCTTCAAGACCCCTGGCTGTCTTCAAGACCCCTGGCTGTCTTCAAGACCCCTGGTTGTCTTCAAGACCCCTGGCTGTCTTCAAGACCCCTGGCTGTCTAGACCCCTGGCTGTCTTCAAGACCCCTGGCTGTCTTCAAGAGGGAGCTGAACAGACAAATAATGTCAGCACCTGACCAGCCGGGCTGTGGTTACTACGTTGGTTCACATATGGCCAGCAATGACAGCCTGCTTGATCAGTCCCTGATCCACCACGAAGCCTGGTCATGGACCAGGCCTCGGGGGCGTCGACCCCCGAAACACTCTCCAGGTTTCAAGTGTATCGGTTGCATAATTCACCTCTTCACTGAGGACCAGGAATAAAGGTATTTAAATGGAACCTAACAACGTAAATAAATCACAAGGATATTAGGAAGTACTTCTCCAGCCTCGGAGTAATCAGAAAAATGATGCAAATGTCATACACGGTTTTAATGACGGGTACGACAGGTCCAGTGAACAAGGGAACTTTTTAGAACCCTTCATATTGTGAGGCAGGGACCAGGAGCCAGTGCTTGACCCTCCATAAACAGGCAAGTACAAGCACACACATATTGGGGCCAGGAGCTATGATTAGACCCCTGCAACCACAATTAGGTGAATACACACATCGGGGCCAAGAGCTATGATTAGACCCCTGCAACCACAATTAGGTGAATACACACTCGGGGCCAGGAGCTGTGAATCGACCCCTGCAACCACAAATAGGTGAATACACACTCGGGGCCAAGAGCTATGATTAGACCCCTGCAACCACAATTAGGTGAATACACACTCGGGGCCAGGAGCTATGAATCGACCCCTGCAACCACAATTAGATGAGTACACACTCGGGGCCAGGAGCTATGAATCGACCCCTACAACCACAATTAGGTGAGTACACACTCGGGGCCAGGAGCTATGAATCGACCCCTGCAACCACAAATAGGTGAATACACACTCGGGGCCAGGAGCTATGAATCGACCCCTGCAACCACAATTAGGTGAGTACACACTCGGGGCCAGGAGCTATGAATCGACCCCTGCAACCACAATTAGGTGAGTACACACTCGGGGCCAGGAGCTATTAATCGACCCCTGCAACCACAATTAGGTGAGTACACACTCGGGGCCAGGAGCATGAATCGACCCCTGCAACCACAATTAGGTGAGTACACACTCGGGGCCAGGAGCTATGAATCGACCCCTGCAACCACAATTAGGTGAGTACACACTCGGGGCCAGGAGCTATGAATCGACCCCTGCAACCACAATTAGGTGAGTACACACTCGGGGCCAGGAGCTATGAATCGACCCCTGCAACCACAATTAGGTGAGTACACACTCGGGGCCAGGAGCTATGAATCGACCCCTGCAACCACAATTAGGTGAGTACACACTCGGGGCCAGGAGCTATGAATCGACCCCTGCAACCACAATTAGGTGAGTACAAAACTCGGGGGCCAGGAGCTATGAAAACGACCCCTGCAACCACAATTAGGTGAGTACACACTCGGGGCCAGGAGCTAAAGAATCGACCTCTGCAACCACAAATAGGTGAGTACACACTCGGGGCCAGGAGCTATGAATCGACCCCTGCAACCACAATTAGGTGAGTACACACTCGGGGCCAGGAGCTGTGAATCGACCCTCTGCAACCACAATTAGGTGAGTACACACTCGGGGCCAGGAGCTGTGAATCGACCCCTGCAACCACAAATAGGTGAATACACACACACACACAATGCAAGATTACATAGGTACTGAGAGGGTAGACAGAGAGACTGTTTATGAGGCGGGAAACAGGTACTCGGGGGCACAGCAGGAAGTTAGACACGTGAGCCACAGGGATGTCAGGAAGTATTTCTTCAGCCTCAGAGTTGTTGGGAAACAGTAATAAGAGGGTGACTCCACACGTAGCTTTAAGAATAAGTACGACAGGTACCACGAGGCTAGGAGAGTGAATCTGGCAAGTTGAGAGACGGGGGCCAGGAGCTGTGACTCGACCCCTGAAATCACATATAGGTGAGCACACACGCTGATGATTTCTCAGGGTAATATTACCTGGAGTTTACCTGGAGAGAGTTCCGGGGGTCAACGCCCCCGCGGTCCGGTCTGTGACCAGGCCTCCTGGTGGATCAGAGCCTGATCAACCAGGCTGTTACTGCTGGCTGCACGGAAACCAACGTAAGAGCCACAGCCCGGTTGGTCAGGTACTGACTTTAGGTGCTTGTCCAGTGCCAGCTTGAAGACTGCCAGGGGTCTGTTGGTAATCCCCCTTATGTGTGCTGGGAGGCAGTTGAACAGTCTCGGGCCCCTGACACTTATTGTATGGTCTCTTAACGTGCTAGTGACACCCCTGCTTTTCATTGGGGGGATGGAAGTATATGGAAGTATACTCCATACACAGTTTCAAGAGTGGGAACATACAGGAAATAATAATTAATAATAATAATAATAATAATAAAAATAATTAAAATAAGATATAACAATTGCATTATTATTATTATTATTATTAAAGTGTTTTATTCCCAGGATGGCCAAGCCAAGTGGCGGGAAAACAGCGCCTCACAGCGGACAAAAAGTGAACCCACAAGATAAACAAAAAACGTCAACAAAAGGCCTAGACAAAAAGGCCGATAAAGGCGGGAAAAAGAAATCAAAGAAGAAATCATCAAGGGACTCGGCAGGAGGTAAATTTTTATTGGTATATAATTTCGCCAAAATCATTCTGAACCTAACGAAAAAATATATTTGATTGTGTTTGTTTAGTATTAAATTATTGTAAACAAATCTAAAATATATTTAATTGGGTTAGGCTAAAATAAATTGCTCTTGTTATAATAAGGTTAGGTAAGTTTTCTAAGATTTTTTTGGTGCAAAATTAAAATTTTTTACATTAACAATAATGAAAAAAATATATCTTTAAACGTATAAGAGAAAATTTTAGAAAGGACTTAATTTTAAATGAGTTCTTGCTAATTGACCAGTTTTACATATTCGGCACGACATATATATATATATATATAATAATATATATAATATATATATATATATATATATATATATATATATATATATATATATAATAAAATCTCCATTACAGGTCGTGTTCATGTGGATATCCTGGGAGAGACAGCTATGGTCAATGCTCTGTACATCTGCCACAGTGTTCAAGATCTGCTCTTCTGGCGTGGGTATCAGTGGGCACCTGGCGGCAAGA